TGACTTATCTCGTTTTTCGCCTGCAAATGCTGACGCTAGCCACGCTGTCCCCCTGTCCGCCTCACGCTCATGGTCGCTTCGCTGTTGGAGTCGCGCGAGTTTTTGCATCAGCCTCATGGTAACCAATCAAAGTGCATCAGTTCACTGATTGACTGCGAGCAACCGTAAACCCATGCCCTGGAAGCAGGACTCATTGGCGGACACAGACACAAACACGCACGTACTCACAACTTTTAACTGAGCGGACGCTGGCCAATCGAAACAACTATTCTGGGAGTGCCTCACCTATTACCTGAAATGATCGTAGATCGGTCTGCTCTTCGCCCGAGGCTCCACTATGTGCAATTTTTGTTGGATTTGCCTGGCCTTGACCCACACGTGATCTATAGGCTAATTTCCGTTGTCCACTGCCTACTTCATCCGCTGTGCTAATCAAAGCACCTTGAAAGATCATGCAAAATCTGCCGAAAAATACGAGAAACGCAGAATGGCCCATGTCCCTCTATATCTTACATCACCTGTCAAGCTTTCTACAACTTGGCGTGATCACTTTACTCTACTCTACAGAAATCCAGAAGTAGTAGATGTGATCGCTGGGCCGATAATTTTATTCACCTGACGTTTCGAAATCCGTCGCGGATCCACCATCAGAGACAATAGTAGAAACAGGAGTTGCAGTATTTATGGCCTACTGTCACTATGCTACTCCACACATAGGACAATTAACGGTTCCCCTATCGAGGATAATTGTCAACTTGTGCGTTAAAGGCCGGCGTGCGGACCGTGACTTGCTGAACTTTTATCCCACGTGGTTGAAATGCGCGTGATGACTGCTCGGCCACCTAGTTCCCTGGCGCTGGCGTTAGATGACACGTTGACCTGGGTGTTCCCCAAGTGGCGGCTTGCTTTAGCCAAATTCAGCCGCGGCGTCGAATATTGATTGGACAGGTCATTACACTTGTTCATAGACTGGGGGGCGCGTGAACCATGACTCCTGTGCCAGCAATCGCATTTACTTCTTCTCAATTACTTCATGGGACCCGCATGTTCACTTGTTTTGTTTTTATTATGTGATTATACCATAGTATCTGCTAGTTTTCAGCTCAACCGTTCCTATAAGCTTTCGGACAGAGCTCCGCAAGACCTTGTTCCAGGGAATCCCGTCCGACTTAACGCCCTAATTACCGAGAAAAAGTACCGTACAATAAACATGGAGGAATACTGACTGAAGTCTTGGCAGAAGTTCGTAGTATGGCTTCC